ACATTTCAGAGCAAGTCGCCAAGCCTCTCGAACTGATACATGTTTTGCCATCTTTGTTTCTGCCAGACGGGCTCATGCATTTTCCATGTGACTGCCTCTCTTCTAAGTATGTGTTTCTCCAACTAAAGAAATCTGGGGTTCAAGACCAAACTACGCCTTTGCCTCCGTAGGGAAGCTGCAGGTAGAATGTGTGCTCCCCCTTTGCCCAGATTTCTGAAGGTTGATTCCTATCCGAGCAGTAGTCACCTACCGCCTTGTGCTAGGCATTGAGGACCTTGGGGTTACACCTGCTTCTTAAAGCCCGGGCTTCACTAGTTTCTCGATGCATATGTGTTGAATTGGATGTTTCCTGAGCACTGCCCTCTCGTTCAGCCAGGGCAAGAAAAAAATATACGCCACAAATCCTCCAAAACTATTCAGGGATAATCACAAAGCTCTCCCTTTAGGTGAATGCCTTTTTCCTAATAGGGCATTACTTGTTCATTCATTCATTCAACTCCACATACACTAAAAAAACCACGAAACCCGCTGCTTTTAAGGGAGGCTGGTAGATTGATCAGTTTACCTGGACCCGTCATTGGAATGAGACCCCGTGTAAATAACTACTCAAGAGTCGACATGTCTAACCGTCACAGGAAGTATCTCAGGAAGGTAGAGAACAGATCAACAGACGTAGAAGCTGATCGCTGATAAACTTACCGTTTCTGAGACTTTTTGCCTAAAAATAGAAGAAATAGAAAAATGACATCAGCAAAAGTAGACAATTTCAATTAAAAAAAAAAAAAAAAAAGTCAGAGTGAAGAGAGACTCCCGCCCTCAGAACGGTCTTGGGAAGTGTACTGGGCGCTTGACCCCTGCGTCTCGGGTAGAGGCACGGGGCTCGTGCTCACTCAGCGGTCAGTGCTTGGACAGAGCAGAGTCCCTCCCATGATCTGGCTGCTCAGAAAGGCAAGCCTGGCCCGAAGGACCTGATAATCAGACCCCATACACCGTTCTCGGGGTTCCCCTCTGCCAGCCCTTGCCCCCTGCGGATCCGTCCCTGGGAGACGTAACTGCCCCTACTGTGAGGACCCGTGTCCTTCCGTCTCACGCCATCTTCTCTATGAGAATCCACAGGAGAAATTCCGCTCAGATCTCAGTGGGAGGAATGACACCCCTTTCTGAGTAACCGATATGCTTTTTGTCTTACAGAAACAGTGACCCTCATAGCTAGTTATGTTTCCTCCTTTGACTGGCTTCAAGGACACGCTGAGTCAGACCTGAGACTTTACCAAGTGCATAGGACTGAGTGACACACACACATTTTTGTGTTCGAACCTCACCCCCGCCTCCAACCTACTTTTGTGCAGTACATTTTAACCTTCTTTCTCTTACTTTTGAACTAATTTCAACTTGCTATGTTGAATGCATTTTGTAAATTATGTGACTTATTTTTTTTAAAGCAGAGAACAAATAAGTAGATAAATGAATGAACTGTAGAGGAAATAAAAGCCAAAAAAAAAAAGAAGCTTTTTTTTTTGTAGGAAAAAAGATCACTGGGAAACAGCATACTTCAGTGGTGGTAAACAAGAGCCATTCAATTGGGGTGCGGGTCCTGTTTGCCACCAGCGGTGTGTCTTTGAATAGCCACTTCCCTTCTCGAAGCCACAATTTCTTCTTCTGTGAAGGGGCATGCTATTCTGTCTTCCCTACTGAGTTGATTAAAAAACAAACAAACACGTATTCCACGTGTTTAGTGTAGAGCCTGAGGCTTAGATAATGTTCAGGTACTATGTTAAACCTTTAAAAGATTAGAAATTAATATTTTAAACATTTCTTGCAAAATTCGGCCTGCTGATGACATGGGCCAAATGCACTTGAGCAGAGAGAATTAAAGGTGAATTCATTTCAGATTTCTATTTGTTCATCTTCGCCTTCGTCTTGTAGGGATAATGAGACACTTTGCAATATGTGAGCAAGAATTTGTTCCTACTAAGAGTTTTGTGTTTCTTTGTTTGTTTGTTTGTTTGTTTGTTTTGAAGGAAAGGGAACCGAGAGGCATGCATTCAGGTTCGTGCCCTGTGCTAACCCTGTGAGTTGGTTAAGGTGGAAAGGGTTCCAACCAAGGACAGAAACAGAGCCTCATTCACCCCAAGACCAGTCGTTTCAGGGGGCACGTCTGGATGGGAGTCTGACTCTGGCCCCTGCTGATATTCAGGGACTTTAGAGGTTTGGTCCGAAACATTGTTGCCCTCTTTCCTCGTTTACTGAACAGGGCCAATGAGAAGGACTAGTCAGAGAACCAGGAGGCAGGGAAAAGGGGTCTAGACAAGCCCATGTGCAGGGGAGCCAGCCACTGGAGCCTGCGATTCCTTCCTCAGAAGAAAGGAGCCGGAGTCGGAGGTCAACCAACCAGGACAGAGGTCAGAGAGCAGATTCAGAAGATCCATCTGAGGGCAGAAGGACGGGGTCCAGATTCTGGTCACTTCATTGGCCATTATGTTGTAAATATTCATCTGTCCCCCCTTTTCCCAGCTTTCTGAACCCCCAAAGCCTGTACAGTCAGCAAAGCCAAGGAGTCCGGTATACATCCAGACGCAGCTTGTGACCTTTGTTCTCGTAAGTGCATCAGCTGGCCTGTGTTAGAAAACCTCTAGGGCTGAAGCCATCGCTTCTAACAGTCTCCCTCTAGGCAAACAAATACCCTTCCCATTTTCGTTAACCTACAACTCAAAGTTTTGGAAGACAGAGCCCCTGGCAGCCGGAGCCATCAGGAGAGGTTTCGGAGTGAAGACTCACTGACCGCGGCCCGAGAGAGCGCCAGTTTCCTGCGCAGCAGTGATCTCTCGGGGCTCTGTTCTCGCTGTTGGCATAACTGTCACCAGCCCCGCTGCCCGTAAGCTGTTTCCTGTTTGCCCCGCTCATTCCCACAGCAGGGGCCTGCTGTTTTCAAGCTATCGGGTTGAGATCTTGTACAGAGATGACTCCAAGGTGAAACCTCTGAGAACAACCCACTGCTGGTTCTCAGTCCTGCTCACAAAGCAGCCTTAGCCAGCGCCCACCCCCGCCGAGTACCTGGGGCTTCAGTTCTGCCCCTGTGATCCCACAGCACGCAGTCAAAGATCTTAGAATTGGGGAATAAGCCTCTCCCTTAGGCATGTGACTCACAGCCCACAGTTCTTAAGGGCTATTCAGCTCTTATCCAGAGGGCCGTGTGCAATTCCCCGGGGGCCTCGGCCCCCTCCGTCCTGCCAACACCACCCGAGGGAGGAGGAAAGGAAGGACGTTGGAGTCAGGCTTCCAAGGCCCAGCGGAAATGAGGAGCAGTAACGGGAGCAGAATCTCATCCCTCTTCGGCCTCCGTGCAAGACTTACAGACTTGTTATCGTACTGCAAGTTGATGGGATCGAATCTCAGCCAATTCCTAACGGCAGGAGCAGAGACGTGGCACTTGCTCCGGGCTCTCAGGTTAGGTCACTAAAATGTTTGCACATCTACTGTCTTAAATTTGGGGTGCATGATCATAGTGGAAGACCATAAAGAAATGGTAGATACTATTCCTGCCATTGCCCTCAAGGATGGGTGGGTGAGAGGTGCAGCGTTTGGGTACCATATGCATGAAACAGAATACATGCTAATTAGCTCTGGCCAGTGCGGCTCAGTGGTTAGAGCGTCCGCTTGCCAACTGAAGGATCCTGGGTTCGATTCTGGTCACGGGCATGTAGCTGGGTTGCAGGTTTGATCCCTGGCCCTGGTCAGGGTCATGTGGGACGCAACCAATCGAAGTATCTCTCTCACGTCAATGTTTCTCTCTCTCTCCCTCCCTTCCTTCCACTCTCTCTAAAAAAAAAAAAAAAATCAATAAAAAAATATCCTCAGGTGAGGATTAACAAAACAAGACGAAACAAAAGAATACATACTAATTAATCTGGTGGAAGTGGAATTCAAATGGCCATCGGCTGACCCCTCAGGAAGGCAACTCAGCTCAGCGCTCAGCAGTTGTTCTGAGGCCGTCGACGGCCCCCGAGCTTGAAGCAGGGACTCAGTAACTGCCTCACGTGCGTGAATTTCAGTCTCGAACGTTTCTGCCAGGCGAGGCTGGTGGACACAGCAGCACAGCCAGGACTGTCTCAGACTGTGGGCCTGTCAGCAGCAGGTTGATCCCACTGCACGGCTTGGCCACACTCAGGGGGAGGGGGCTCTCCTTCCCGGGGTGCTCATCTGCTACTCAGGGCAGATGCTGGCTTCTCGGGGAGCCCTCCTCACTCCCTGTTCTTCTCCAGCCGAGTGGAGGGGAGCATGGGCGTGTGCTGCCTTGTCAGGGCCATGTCCCTAGTGAAGAGACCCTGGGGAGACAACGTGGGGACTTATCCTGGGCACAGTGCGACTCCACGTGCATGAGCCAGGCAGGTATGTGACTCTTGATGAGGTCAGGACTCTGGGAGCAGCACCTTAAAAACTTTGCTGGACATCAGATTCATTTCCAGAATTGCAGCTCTGAACTCAAAGGTACATGGGTTCTGAGAAGAGAGAGTCTTGCATCTTTTTCCCAGAATTAAATAAGAGCAAAGGACCGTTTGTTATCACTCAATCAAGGTGCCTTGAAGATAGTAGGCCTTTTTTTTCTCTCTCTCTTAAGGTTTGTTGGTTGGAAAACAAGAAGCAGCGTGTTTCAGTGCAAGCACGAATAGGCTGCCTCATGCATCTCCAGGGCCTGACGTCTACAGAACACCGAGCGTGCTGCCCTGTTTCAGCTGAAGCGATCCTACTTAATTCCCCGTGGGCTTCTGTATTTTTTCCCTCTTTACAATTTTATCATTCTCACAGGTAGGCAAACTCACATACCTTTCTTTAGTCGCCTTGCCAGCCAGATGATGAACGCCAGCCCCAAGAAGGCAGTGACCATGACGGCCACTGGGATGAAGAGGGGGTTGTAGTCGCTCTCCTCGACCATGAAGTTCCTACCCAGCTCTGAAAGAGGAACCAGGGAGGCAGACTGAGTGAGGTCGCAGTGCCATCTCCTAGCCTTGGTCTCTTCCCCTCCTCCCACCTCCCCGCGATTGCCCGTCTGATGCCCTCTGACAGACGAAATGGGCACAGGAAGGCCCACCGAGTCGACTGCAGAGGCAAAGGCGGGACCGGCTCTTCTAGCCCAATGCTTGTGGAGCCTCAGTTCCCAGATCTGTGATGCATGGGGCTCCTGGGGGGGCACCTGGACGGGTGGTCAGGAAGGGGGCGTCGCTGCATTGGGTGCCTTGTCGGACGGCTGGCACTCTAAGTTAGAGGAGCACTAAAAAGCCAGCGACCCGAACCAGGTAACTTGTCACTCACAGGAAGGGTCAATGCTTTTACTTCGAAGCAGCTGTGCCGACGTCTGCTCTTGGGGTTTACGTGCCCAGGGCCGGCACTGACCTGTCTGTCAAAGGGTTCACTCCCCCCACTTCCCTCACTATCACGTAAGGAATACATCTCGGTGTCCTCTTGTAAGTGGGAACTAAGTTCATTTGCGAACCTTTATTGAAAAAAATACCAATGTGGAAAAATCTATACCCGGAGAGCACCAGTCGAAGGGCCTTCCTTTTGCACGTTGGCCCAGGGTCTGATGGCAACCCTTCTTCTCCACATGACTTTGAGGAACCCCTTCAAGGTGCTGCCATCCCCACACCCAACTATGCAATGGAAAGGAGGCTCAGGGTCCCAGAGGCTGCAGACAGAGGGCACCTATTGGCTGCGTGAGGGTGAGGACATGAACACTAGCCCAGCCTTAACAGGAAAGGCCCGCTACCCTGACACAGCCCCCCCTGCAGACCCGGACTCCTACCCACTCCCTGGCCCGCGCCCCCCAGAGACCAGCTTCTCTGACAGCTTCCACGGATCCTACGTCTACAAGACTCTTGTCACCTGACTCAAATGGTCTCGGGGTAGACATGGGCAGCTGGTCTTTCGAGTATATGTATTTATTTAGCACGCAGCGTCAGGGGGAAGGTACAGAGGGATGACGGAGACATAGCCCTCATACACAGACGGATTTGGGATGATTCGGCTTAATGATCACTGGGAAGTGCCACTGCTTTCGGAATTTCGTGGTTAGTGGTGAGCTTTGTGGTGGCATTTCAGTGGGCCGACGGAGACGTGAGCTTGTGCTGGGATAGAAGGCTGGATGAGGAACATGTCAGCTGAGACAGTGAGCCTAGATGTGAAGGGCTGAGAGAGGAAGAACTGAGAATTGGCTAGAAAAGAAATGGCTGTCTTTGAAGGAAGAGGCAAGCACAGTCAGGGGTTATGGAGTAAATTAATACGTGCAAATCTATTTTTAAGGCACATATATGTCTTAACATGAAATGTAAAAGTTCAGTGTATCTTTCTGCACCATCTGCTCCATCTTTAAGGTACTCGTTATACTGGGGCAAACGGACTCACTTTGACACAGGGGACGAGGGCTCGACCAGGTTCCAGATGACCCACAGACGGTTCTCTTCTCTCCGATCAGCTCCGTCCCTTCTGAGCAGCGGAAGGTGCAGGTGGAGTTAAAGCTGAAGTTGTCCAGGGGGTGACTACAGTGTATGGCCCCCAAGTCAGGTGCTGCTAGCGGCTCACAGCGAATCACTTCAGTGAAGAAGAAAACAGTGTTCTGAGCAGAGACCCCTCTTGACTGCAGGATTAGAGCCAAAGCTACCTGCCTGGACCGTGGGACCACCGCAGGGTTCCGGGCATCCCTGAGCTCGCTTCTGATACGTTCCAGCCTGTGTGTCCTGGGCAGGGTGGACCGTGGAGGGTCGGGGTGCGGCCAGGAGAGCACAGGAGGAGTTTGGGGCGGGAGGTGGAGAGAGGAGGCGTGTCAGCCCCTCCAGGTGTCACTCCGCCTCTGTTGGAAGTGCCCCGTGACACGACCTTTGTCTCGGGAGCTCTCATGAATCTCCGCAGCGAGTGTGACAACGTCTACCCTTTGGCCTGTTCTAAAGTCAACTCAAGCAATTTCGAAAAACACCCCAGTTCCCTGAAGCAAGTCCCTCAACTTTTGTAACATTCGGTAGGTTGGTCAGTTTAGTGCTACAGTACATGATTCTGACAGTTTAATTTTCTGGAACATTAAACTCTTTAGTGAGTCAGAAGCATCCAGGTAGAAACCGTAACCAACACTTTACCCGTTCGGACCCACCAGCCACCAGGTTGTCCTGCAAGGGCATTATCTCCCCAGCGACAGAGGAAGCGTCCACCACGTGTCAAATGAAAACAAAAACCAAAACGACCAAGACTTTGTATCTCTGTTTTTCATAGCAGTTGTTATTCTCCTGAGAGTTCATGGAGGAGAACAATTTAAAACTGATTTCAAGAATAAACAAATGAGACAGTAAAAAGAAGAAGACCTCTCCCCTGTGAGAAGGAACCTGGTAGGTGTTAAGGAGGGCGCCACTTAAAACAGATGTGATGGAGCGGGGAGAGCAGCCAAGTTTAACTGAGGTTCAGCCCCGACAACAGGACGGACAGAAGTGCAGTGTAACCACAGCTGCACCGCTGCCGGGATCCTCGCTCACACAGCGGTGGGGGCTTCGGGGGGTTGGTGGTTGGTTTTTGTTGGCAGTTTTTCTTTCTCACTTTAGTAACAATTACCCCTCCGCAAAGCATCACCGGCTAAGGTTAAATTATGCTCCAAAAGAGGGATCCGACTTCTTGGCAGGACCCTGCTGTGGGCTCAGGGCCGCCAGGCAAAACCTCCAGCCGGAACCGTGACTCACCTTGACAGGTGGGGACCGGAGATGACCAGTTTCCAGACGGTCCACATGTGGTTTCCTCCGTCCCGGCAAGGTCTGTCCCCTCAGAGCAGCGGAAGGCACACCGCGAGCTGTAGCTGAAGTCCCCCCGAGGGTGGGTGCAGGCCATGGTGCCCCCGGCCGGGCCCTCCAGAGGCTCACACGCAACCACTTCAACGAGAACAGAAACAGCACTGGGGAGTGTTAAGAGGCCCAGGTGATGGGGCTGAGTCCGCGCTCAGCCCCCTGATAATCAGCATCTTTAAGCAGGGTCACTCCACCCCTCCCGCTTCAGGTTCTTCGTGGGGGGGGGGCGTGCTCACTGGATGAACTCCCTACAGTGGACGTGGGCATTCAGTGACATCATGCGAGTCAAGGACTTAGCACAGCCTGGCTCGTAGGAAGTCTTAATGAAACATTAGCTAATTGTCTTGTTAGCTCTGGCATTATCTGGGGAGAGAATTTAAAAACCTACATAGGTTTCAGGGGGAATGACCAGCTCAGCTTGGAAATGACTGAGAATATTGGAGTGTTGGGAGCAGGAGATTTGGAGAAAGAGCGGGTGTCTGCCATTAGTCTTCTTTCCAAGGGGCGGAGAGCAAAGCTTTAGGAAGCATTTCGACCTGGATTCTGTCTTCCCCCTCTGGCTCGGTGCCGGAACTCGAGTTCCTCCGATTTGGACAACCCTCTGCAGAAGCTGCATCGGTTTCCCTGCTCTGATTGGTGGTGCAGTGGATCGAATTAAGGCTTGAAAATCAGTCTCCGCATTTTAGGCCCTGCCGTGTTATTTGGTAAATACTGCAACTCCCGTGCCTTATGTCTTATTAAATGTGAGCCATTGTTTTGATCTTGCTCTGGAGATTTCAATAAAGAATGGATCCAGTGGATCCATTGGAAGAATGTTTAGATTTCTCTCATACAGTCCAAGTCTAAATGAAAGTAAATTGCATTGTCCAACTCAATTCATACCCATGAGCAAATGCCTAGTCCATTCCAGACATAGTCTCCTTCCAACAGATGCAATGATGAGTAAGATACTCACCGATCTCAATTAGCTATCCGTCTGCCTGGGGACACAAGTGAGTGCTTAGATGACCTCGGCAAGTGTGAGACAAAGGAGAATGATGTCTGTGGAGGTATTAGAACAAAAAGTAGGGACACAGCCTGTTTTGGGGGTACTCAGAAAGCTTCCTGACAGAAATGGTCCCTGAACTATGTCTTCAAGATAAACAGGTGTATTAGCCATGAGCACGATGGGAGAGAACTCCATGAGCGAGTCAATGAGGTAAACAGCTCATGCGGTCACAGTGGAGAACGGCATTTTGACACCACGAGAAGGAAAGAGACAGGGGATGATGCGAAATGAGATTAGGGAGGAAGATAGGAGCTGAGGCAACATGCTCTCATCTTTTCTCATCGATTTCATGCGCACCTGCTACACATCAGCATGACTCTAGACCTGGAGGGGTTTAGGATTTTATCCTATAGGACAAATGATAGGTAGAAATGAAAGCCTGGTCACATCTACATGATGTTTGTTTGATGATTGCTTTGACTTGATCAGCCTGCCTGCAGTATGAATAATATATTTGAGGGGACCTAATTGAAAGTTGTGAGTCTCAGCTAAGAAATGATGGCAAAAATCTGGGAGGAAGTTGATGAGGGCCACGGCAGTAGAATTCACAAGTAGGAGACAAATTGGAGAAACAGTAATATATAAAAATGAGTAGTGTGTTACTTGGCAGGGTTGGTGCGAACGTTCCATACCAGAGTACCCACATAAATGGTGGCACCACATACGAAGAGGAAGAACACAGAAGGAAAGGGCTGGGGCCGTGGTCTCGCAGTCTGTGGGCATCCCAAGGACCTGCTTTGCATATTTGGGGTTCAGGGCTGGAAACAGATGGTCAGTCCACAGCTCACATGGATTTGTGAATTCACAAAAGTTGGCAAGTTTGACCAAAGGGGGCAGATAAGAGTCAAGAGAGCAATGGACAAAAAGATAGACGATGAGAAATGACCATGGTGGATGGGCTTAGATTCGTGCCCGTGACGAAAACCGGAGAGAAATAATCATAGGTAGAAAGAAAACCAGGAAAGAGTGATATGATGGGAGCCAAGGCAAAAAAGATACAAACGTTCAACAAGGAGTGCGTTGGACATGCCACTGATACAACAATGAACAATAACGTTTTCGAACGGAGTGAGGGTCAAGTGTTGGGTAAGAATCACAACTGTGCAATCAAGTGAAATGAGTTGTTCGGTTCCAGTTAGTTGACATTAAAATTTACTTTGACTTCAATTCTTTATTTTTAAAAAATTAATTAGTTAATTTGTTTTATTACAGATGTCCTTCCTCCCCCCGCCCCCAATGCCTTCACAGTACTGTTGTCTGTGCCCATTGGTTATGCATATATGCATATAAATTCTTTGGTGTATCTCTCCCTGCCCCCTCCATGTCTCTGGATCTGTTTTGATCATCAGCTTATTTTGTTCATTATATTCCACAAATAAGTGAGATCATATGATATTTGTCTTTCTCTGATTGACTTGTTTCACTTAGCATAATATTCTCCAGGTCCCTCCATGTCATCTCAAAGGGTAAGTCTTTATTCTTTACAGTGTTGTGTGTTTTTTCCCCTCCTTGTAATTTTCTATTTTATGCACCATATAGTTCATACATCGTTTTCAAACTCAACCAATATCAGTCGAAGGATTTGATGTGTCTTTCAGTAGAGAGTTAACTGGGTCCAAGACTCCTCGTCTTTGAATCTGTATATTCTTCCCTTTTTATTTCTACCACCATGACTCTGAGTGATTTCAATAGACTAATGATTCCCTCCAACTTCTCTCTTTTTGCTATCCAATCCCTCTCATGCACTGTTTCTAGGGTAATTGCCCTAAATGCAGGTGTTAAGGCACTACATGGCAAAAATAAACTCATAGACACAGACAACAGTATGGTGATTACCAGAGGGAAAGGGGGTGGGGAGAGGTAGAAGGGGGTGGGGGGGAGAAGTGGTGATGAGAGGAGAATTGACTTGGGGTGGTGAACACACTATACAATGTACAGATGGTGTAGTATACAATTCTACACCTGAAACCTATAAAATTTTATTAAACAATGTCATAAAAAAATATCCAATAAAAAGATACTAAGTTCCCTTCCATTGTCAAATAAAGGCCAGATTGTTTCATTGGGCAAATTCTAGTCTCTGCAAGTTTATTTCAGTTTATCTGGCTGTCAAGCAAACCAAATTATGAGCATATATAATTTCCACTAGTTAATTGTAAATCCTGTAAGGGCAGAATCTTTCATAGATTGGCCTTTCTATCGTCTGAAATACCCAGCCCAAATACATGTATTGGATTTATTATTATATCTCTCTGACCTATATGTACTGTATATGGTTACATGAACTTTTCTTTTTGGCCTCACCCTGTTTGACTTTGAAGATTACGGAAGCAAGCAAGATCGCCTTCTGGGTAACTCACGCTCCTAACTAGAAACATTTTTGTTTCTTTCAGACTTTAGAGTCCTAATGAGCCCAGCAAGCTTACTAGATTATGATTTCTGAAAGTAGGAACCTACCACGCCTGGTGCACGACCATAAGCCTTCGTGTCACACGATCATAAGCAACTTCATCCTGACTTACGAAATCTTTACGGAAAGCGACCGACATTGTGCAAAGCACAACCTTTTGGTCAGAACTTCTCATTTCTCAGAGCGGCTAGTATCATTCTGTCCCAGCCAACTTCCAGAAGCTGCAGGAAGCCCGCAGCTGCCCACAGGAAGGAACAGGGAGGGAAGGAGCTTACCCCACTGGCACTGGGACCCATAGTAGCCCACGTCACAGGTGCAGGTGTTGTTGTTGATGGTTTCCACACACTCGCCGTGACCACTGCATGACCAGGGCTGACAAGAAGCTGTAAGGGGATCAGGGAGAAATTATTTTAATGTGATTACTTTTTAGTACTCATTGTCATTTTTTTTAGATGTAGGTAACTTTTTGGACTGCAGGCCAATGTTCCAACCACTGAGCCAAACCGGCCAGGGCAGCTGAGACTATTTTAATAAACAGGAAACTTTTATGTGTACATTCATAGTACCTTTGCATAAAAACCGTTATGTTAGTCCTGGCCGGTTTGGCTCAGTGGTTAGAGCATCGGCCTTTGGACCAAAGAGTCACCGGTTTGATTCCGGTCAAGGACATGTACCTCGGTTGCGGTTCGGTTCCTGGCCCTGATCAGGGTTGTGTGCCTCTTTCACATCAATGTCTCTCTCTCTCTCTCCTTCCCTCCCACTCTATCTGAAGAAAAATGGGAAAATATCCTTGTGTGAGGATTAAAAAAAAAAAAATATGCAAAAATTTCTATTTATGTCATACACTGGCCGTATAGCCATAAACATTTGTTGTTGTTGTTTTTTAATGAATTTGCCAGTGCTCATACTCTGTACTATTTTGGGGAAATTTAGTGACACACACTGGAACTCTTGAAATTACTTTGTTTCTAATGTAATAAGCAGGTTAAATGATGCCCTGAACTCCAATCATTTCTGCAGTCAGACTGCTTGGTAATCCCTTTCTTCATAGAAAGATGAAAAAGTCAGAATCTGCTAAATTAATCGGGAAGCCAAGTTACCAGGGACCAAACGAACTATGCTTCACTGTTAAGACAGGTCTTGGGACAATGCGGACTGTTTGGAACTGCTGTAATAGCCTTTATGGAAAATGTATGCACCGCAGGTAGCGAAACACCGCAACGCTTCATTAGGCAGAACTGTGGGATGGGCCAGGCCCCTCTGCTACGGTGGGCTCACTGAGGCTAAGCTCCCCCCTTCCCTGCCTTATTCTCGGGGACACTGACTGTCGTCCTTCCTCCTCACACAGCCGACCTACGGGTGCAGCTTTGGGGTGTTGGGACCAGCCTCACACACCAGGAGTGTGCCGCAGGGATGTGATTGGAGCTGCTCTGGGGCCTGGGCTGGTGTTGAACGCACCGGGGTGCCCTCCCCCACGCCACGCGCTGGTCCCTGGCTCGTCACCCCAGCCCCACCTGTGTAGCAGAGCGCCGTCTTCGGTTTGTGGCAGGCGTCGTCATTCCACTTCCCCGCGTCCCTGCTCCTCTTGATGTACATCTCCACACAGTCCTCCTTCGACTTCTTGTTGTTGGGCTCCCCGTCTCCCCAGTTCTCGGCTTCTGCCGTGAGGGACTTGTTGGTCCCCACCCACGTCCACACCCCTCCGACCTTCCGGATCCCTATCCAGTAGTACGTGCGGCTGAAGGGCAGCGTCCTGTTCAGGTACTCGATCTCGCCCTTGTTCTGGATGGCCACCAGGTCTGTGTAATTCTGCCGGCAGAACCTCCTGGCGTTCAGCCAGTTCATGGGTGTCGCAGAATAATGGTAGGTCCAGCCGTCGGCTCCGTGGTGCGGAGGGAAGTCTGAAAGACAGCAGCCAACGCTGTAGGCTCGGTCACAGCTGAAGCCACCTGGATGCAGGGACAGTAGCACCTCCCGGGGAAGTCACTCTCTCAATGACACAGAATTAGACACTTGCAGATTCGAAGTAGAAGCTATGTCTGTAGTTCTAATCACTTTTTAAAAATATATGTTTTTATTAACTTGAGAGAGAGAGAAACATCAGTGAGAGGGAAACATGGATCGGCCACCTCCTGGACGCCTCCTGGTGGGGATCAAGCCTGCGACCAGGCTTGCGCCCTGACCCGGAATCAAATGTTTTGGTGCCCAGGACGACACTCGACCAACTGAGACACACCGGCCGGGGCCCTCATCACTTTTCACCATAATCTAGAATGCTTTTGCCCAAAGTTCTATTTTACACAAATTTGGAGGCTTTCTAGATTTATTTTCAGGAAATCATTTTTTTTTCTCAAAATTCTTTCAAGTAAAACTTAACCAACATACTTTAGAAACTCTCATTTCTTTTTCTTAGTAGCGGTCAACCCTTGAAAATTAATTTAAGTATCATATCATATATCTCTAAGATTTATTGTCTACTTTTTTTTTTTTTCATCCTGGGACACTTTCCCAAGGGCCAGCATTTATGTTTCTGCGAGAGAAGTAAAATGAGGACAGGGATACTGACATATTTTTAAGTGATCTCTTTTGTATCAAAAAGATAATATTGAGCATCGAGAGAGCTGCTTCTGGGAAAACCTTGGTGCCCAGCTCAACCCTTAGACATCTGACTACAAAAATAAATAAAAAAAACCACCCCACCCTCCCCCAAAAAGTGAAAAGAACAATTTACAAAACCAAAGGATGTAAGATTGGGAAATCCATTTAGATAGTGTTCTGCACACAGAGATACTCAACTGATAATGTTTAGTCATCATATGGGCGCTTCACATAGGAGGGCTTTGAAGAAACCAAGGCAAACACATCCTCACACATGATCTTGTGATCAGATGTGCCGTTCTCAGCGTGGCCCGCTCTACGGGGAACGCTGTTCTGCTCGGAACTAAAGGTTTTCACAGCCGTCCGCGTTGACTGAGCTCCCACTCCGCAGGGCAGAGGCCGGGGAGAAATACTGAAGCACACCGATTCGGTGTGATGGTCTCCGGAAGCTTCTCCCCGAGGGATAACCGACGCAAAGGACACGTAAGTCGTCCGGGTCAAGTCAGACCTCGCGGACGTGACACAGATGCTTCACGAGGAAAGCATCTCACGATGTGCACATTTAGAGCAGGGCTGTGAGGGGGCGTGGATGGAAGTTCTAGAAGAAAGAAACGGTTGTGCTCCCTGCTCGCTGTGTCCTCGGTGCCTGGGACGGTGCGGGGACCCCCTGGGGCAGGTGGCGTACACAGACACGGTATAAGGCATGTGTGAGGGGCCTTGGGAGGCATGTTTGCTCAGCCAGAGCTGAAAAGCCAAGCTAGGGAGTAAGAGGGTCCCAGCCCGCTGGAGAAATGGGAAAGACAGTTTAAAGCAGTTGCTGGACAGATCTCAGGAATCAGACACAGAACTTGTCACACCAATGGGAGAAGGATCAAAAAACATGTAAAGGACCTGTCTTTAAAGGGCTCACACTTTAATCATAGAAATGGCATTGGTGTCCACCGCATTATCGACAGATAATAGAAAGCAGAGTGCTAAATAGTTGGTGTAGCTTGTAAGTTCCCTATTGGATGTTCCTTATTTGACCTTATTGCTTCATAACGAAGATCTCTGGGTTTGTCGGAATTTGGAGCCTGCAGCGAAGGGTATGGCAGGCTTAGGAGGTTTCTGGGAGGGACTCAAGATAAGAGGAAGAAAAGAGATCTTCACAGAAGGGGCAGAATTCACAGCTATCTACCTAATCATTTTCCCTGTGACTTTGTACGCTCAGTGGAAAAAGTAGACAAGTAAAAAAAAAAAAAAAACACTACATGGCTTAGCAATATACAAGTAGCAGAACTTACCACAACAGAGCACTGTCCACACCCACACCTGGAAGACCCTCTGAGCACTCTGGCATTTCCCTGGAAATATCTGCAAATAGAACACAAGGTGTACCCTCCTCAGTTACACCTGTGGCCCCTTGAGTCAGCTTCTACAACTTTCTTCAAGTTCAAAGAAAAACACATATGCATACGAAACCTGGCTACGGTCATTGATTTCTCAGACGGATGAGAGAGAAGCATCAAAACTTGACCTCAAAACTGATACCTGGCTCTTTTATTTTCATGCCTTAGCCTCAAGTTGCTGATCATGACTACACTGACTTTTTCCTTTATTCCAGTAGTTAATTGTCCCTACTTTTCTGCTGAGCTGCTAGACGAAACTATTTGATACGTAGTCTCTATTGTTTTAAAGTGTTCATTGCTGCGTATTGAGCTCTTGGCATCTAGATTTAATGTGAAAATCTCCCACTTGATTATGGTCAGCCAATGCTCCAAAAACCTAAAAATTAGACAGCCAAGGAGACATAAGCAAAGAAAAGCAGTTCAGTTGTTTTTTTTTTTTCAACTAAAAAGAGATGAATTTTGAGCAACTCAGATGACAAGATCATACCTTTTCTGCACACCTTAAAACCATGTTATCTGAAGGGTGTTAATTCTCAGGGAGTCACAGTGTCTAGGCTGCAAAGGTGCTCATTTCCACGAGATAGCCCCGCAAGGATCTCACCAGAGACGAGTCAAAGGGAAGGAAGCAAGGAGCACTCTGCAATTTCTGCTCCTGGCTTTTTTTTAAACCACAAATTGGAATATGTTGCTTCGTGTCCTTTGCCACCTGCCTCTGCAATTCAAAGAAGAGGTTCTACCCGAGCATCTGAAAATGTCTCAGGTGGAAAGCTCACCATGGCTTTGCCTGGTCCTGCTTCCGTCCTCCCTCAGCTCCAGCTCCCAGCTCTGCTCCAGGGGTCCCCAGGTCCCGATCCCAGGCCAGGCGTGTGACTGCAGACTGTGCCCAGTGCCCCAGCGGGACTTGCTTTCTTTCATTTCTCTAACCCAGTCTCACATCCTCCTCCTCCCCCCGCACTTCCCCCACCTCTTCTCGCTACTCTTTCTCCACCTCTTTTCTAGGCTGACCTCTCTCACCTCCCCAGAGAGAAAGAGAGCTGCTGACCAGGGTATTAGATTCTCCTTTCCCTCCTTCCTTCCTTTCCTCTGTCCATCCATCCGTTCTTCCTTCCTTCCTTCCTTCCTTCCTTTACTTTTTCCTTCTGTCTTTCCTTCTTTTCTTCCTTTCCTCCTTTTCCTCCTCCTCCTGCTCCTTCTCCCCCTGCCCTCCCTCCCTCCCTCCCTCTTTCCCAATCCCCCTCTCTCCATCTCTCTGTCTTTCTCTCCTTTCTTTTTCTGTAAACACTGGGCTAACTCTTGGCTATCCATGGTAGAGGGCACCTGCTAACTGCAAACACCACACAATCGAAAAGCACCTGGGACAAATGTATGATGTCTGCTCAACTTCAGTGGAGCTAACCTGCAACAGACGTCATTGATTTTGGTCCCTGCCTCTTGCTCACCCCCTAGTGGAGAACCTGTTAAGAGCACCCCCTCAAGCCATGGTTCTCAACCTCCCTAACCCCGCCACCCTTTAGTACAGGTCCTCATGTTGTGGTGACCCCCAACCATAAAATTATTTTCGTTCCTACTTCATAACTGTAATTTTGCTACTGTTATGACTCGTAATGTAAATGATATGCAGGATGTATTTTCATTGTTACAAATTGAACAGAATGGAAGCACAGTGATTAATCACAAAAACAATATCTAATTGTATATTGTGAAATATTTATTTGTAATTACAAGTAAATGAAATTTTGTCTTGAAGCATAGTATAGCATGGGTAACAGTCTTAATATAACAACAGTAAACTACATTGCTACATTTTGCAACAGTATGCGTAAAAAGCCAACGTCAGTGTGAAGGTTGAGATTGCTTCTTTCTCCCCAGATCAGAAATGCTCGGGGCAGTCTTTGCAAGAGCACAACGAAGATCATCTTCCACAACAAGTCTACTTCTGTATTTAGACTTGATAACCAACAAGCTGGAAAACCCTGTTTCACAAAGACATGTTGTTGGAAATGGAAGAAGAAGGCGCAACACAGTCTCAGACAGAACAGGATAACACTGCAAACACTTGATCCAGAATTTTGTAACTGGCATTGTAGAGAAATCAGTTCTCGCTGCATCACTGTTAATAAGTTCAATGAACTCCTCTTGTGCTGTCTCAGGAACATCTTCAACTTTGACTGTGAATGGGCTTCTGGCAAGTGCCGATGGGGTGTCAGGTCGATTTGGAAAGTATGATAAAATTTTGTCTGCAAGTGTGTGCAAGTGTTCTTTCACAGAAATTATCATCGTAATCCTTTTGTCTGGTTCAATGTCACATTCCTCAAAGAAAGCAGATAAGGTAGGCACCATGTGAATTTTATTTTCATCCAATTTTTTCTGTCCCCCGAAGCTGAAGTTTCATTTGGAATGATCAACTTTTTTCAGACAAATCAAGGCATGTTGCATTTGGTCCTTGCAGTGATAAATTTGACTCATTCAAGATGGCAAAGATGGCAACCAAGTAGCTATTTTCTGCAATTTTACTTTTATCGCTGAAAAGTGCTTCGAACTGCGGTCTTGCTTTTTGATTAAAAAACGTTTTGACTTCATCGGGAAGCTCAAAAACACATTTTATTTTTTTAATTTTTTTATCCTCACCCGAGGACATTTTTCCATTTTTTGTTCAGGTAGAGTGGGAGGGAGAGAGAGGAACAGAGAGAGAGAGAAACATCGATGTGAAAGGGACACATCGAGTGGCTGCCACCCGCACAACCGACCAGGGCCGGGGACAAACTGCAACCGAGGTACATGCCCTTAGCGGGAACCGAACCCGGGTCTCTCAGGACCGCAGGCCGACGCTCCAACCTCTGAACCAAACTGGCCAGGGCTCAAAAACACATTTTAAAACTTTTCCTGTCGACAAGCATCTCACTTCAGTGTGAAATAGCAGAACATTGTTCAGTGCATCCAACTCGTTGCGCAGTTGCGAAAACAGTCGACTGTTTAAACTGCTCACCTTTACAAAGTTGACAGAACTTATGATGCTTTTCATTACTTCTTGTAATTCTTGGGGCAGCATCTTCATTGCTAATATTTGCCGATGAATCATACAGAGTTCCAACAACTGTCGGTGATTCATTCAGTACCAAACGTTGAAATCCACATCGACATCCTAGCATAGCTGGAGCACCATCTGTGCAAACACCACAAGCCTTTTCCCAAGAGATCTTATGCTCTTTCAGAAATGAACCAACTGTGTCAAATATGTCACATGCAGTAGTTGTCGTTTCAAGAGGCTTGCAAAAAACAAACACATCTTTATTTATTTTTAAAAATTTATTTATTTATTTTTTTGTTACAGATGTTTCTCCTTTTTTACCCCATTGACACCCCCTCCCCACCCCACCCCCGCCCCGTCCCCGGCTTTGTCCATGTCCATTGGTCATGCATACATGCATTTAAGTTCAGTGGTTTATCTCTTCCCACCTCCCCACCCCCTCTTCTGAGGGATGTCAGTCTGTGCCCTACTTCCATGGAGAAACACATCTTTAAAGTCGCCATCATTAATATACCTCATGTAAACCAGTAACTGTGAACAGTTTGCAACGTCTGTAGATTCTTCAAGCTGGATGCTAAATATTGGAAGTGGAGCAGATTTAATTTCTTGGATTACCTGATCAAGAATATCAGCAGACATGTCATTTATTCTTCTGCAGACAGTGTCGTTAGATAAGGAAATTGCACTCAATTTTGTAACAAACTTGTCTCTCATTGTAACTCGAACAATGTCTTTGGCCACTGGCAACAGTAAATCCTCAGCAATGGTGTAAAGTTTCATAGCTCTGGTGATTCAGAGTGCCACCAAATGTGAAGCTTCAACGGCTGCTACATTTTGTTTGTGTCAAGTCTGGCTTTCTTGAGTCCATCTGCTTTGCTTGTGAAATGGTTGGTATCCTTGTTGGCAAAGCTCAGATGCTTGCTATCAAAATGGCGTTTTAGTTTGTTTGGCTTCATAGATTTGGCTGATAGAACTTCACAACAAATAACACATTGCGGTTTCTCAATTCCTGCTGTAATTATTGAGGTAAAACCATACTGTAAAAAACCTCACTCTATTTTCTTTTCTTAATGTTCTTCTCTACATGATACATTGTCATGGGATGGTTTGCTAATAAAAATAATATATAACAATAGCTTCAATAATACAAAAGATGATACCTGGCATAGTTTAGTCAATGCAGTTCATTAAAGTTTCCTATGATTTACCATTCTCTGTGTTGTTGTTGTTGTTTTTTACATACGTGTTACTATCACAAGGGGGCCGTATTCACATTAACCACAGCTGAATATAAAAAGACGGATCAGCATCCAGATTAAATTCCCATGGTACAGATATTATTTTTCTGCAGTAGTTGATGATTTTACAGTACATGATTTTACATTTCCCAGTAATTATAATTCACAAAGTGTCATTTTACCTCCAATACTGCTGCTTTCAACACAGTAGCTGCTTTTAACAGAGTAGCTGCTTTCTGCACAGTAGCTGCTCTCTACACATGTGTGACTGGTCCACGTAAGTAAATTGTGCCAACCCTGTCACTTACACCTGTATTTGTACGGGGTGTATGTGTTGGGGTTGGCGCAATGATGTCATCACACCGGGTACTTGTATGTGGGCGTATCTGCATGTGGGCGGAGCCGTGTCTGATGGTCTTAGGCGACCCCTGTGGAAGGGTCGTTTGATCCCCAAAGGGGTCGCGACCCACAGGTTGAGAACCACTGCCCTAAAGTAAAGCCCTGAACAGCAAAGCCACCCTAGTTTCTGCCCTGGGGTTTGGGGGCATTTCCCGAGTGTATACTGGGAAGGAGATGGACTGCCTATGAAGCTAGGTCCCAAGCGATGGAGGGCAGCGGAAAGGGAGAGTCACTAACGTAATCCGTTTGGGAGAGGAGCTGGGGTGTTGCTGATTGTGGAGCAGGAATTCCAGAGGATGAAGGAAAAGCTTGGAAGGGAAAGTAAGGTTGGGTCAGGGGACAGCCACCTGGGTGAACTGGCTCGGAGGTGACAGGTGATCAGAGGAGCTTACACTCCAGGAATAAGCAAAGACGTGGCTGTGGTGGGTGTGTCCTGCTCGGGTCACGGAGGTGCGTGGACATTCAGGGCTAACTCTGGTGCAAATAGGTTTTCGTTGTTTTCCATAAAAGCTACTCAGCTAACCCCAAGAACGGTCCCACTTCTCACATCCATGCTCACCACCCACCATCTTCATTTGACTTGGGCCCCTGTATTCCTCCTGAATACACTTAATTAGTCCAGTCCATCATTTCATACCTGGGAAGGCCAACAGCCACACTCTGTCTCTGCACGTTGAGCTGCTCTCTGAAGGGCATTGCCTTTCCGTTTACGTGAAAACAGACCTAACTTGCAGAATCTCGCTTTGTTTTTCATTGTTTCTTTAATCTTTCTCCTAAGGAAAACGTTTGAGCTCAGACGAAGCATTAAATCAAAGTGAAACCAACTGTAGTCGATGACAGTGTAGAACCACAATTTTTATAGTCTGCACAATCAAGCCCAAAGTCACACCATGTTTTCTTAGAAGTGTCAGGCATTTTGATTCTTTGATACCAAGGAGATTCTTGAGGCGGTTTTTGGCTTGGCACACAGCAGGCCTTGTGGATCGACTCATTTCAGAAGAGAAAAACACCTTTCGAGGTGGCAAGAAAACAAAACCATAAACTGCTCGGGCTCACCCCGGAGGAAACAGTGTGAGAGTCAGTGAAGGTGGTTGTTGAACGTGAGCAAGCTGAGGATTGAGACAGGCACGAGGCAGACTCCAGGGTAAAGACTTTATTTCACTGATCTTCACGATTTTTTTAGATTCTTAATATTTTTTCAGACAACTGTGCAGTGTCGATGCCAGGGCCTCTGTATATCCCACTCACACCCATCGTGTGGTGACCATCAGAGGGACCGACAGTAACAGGTGCTGGACAGACTGGGGAGACTGGAACTCCGTGCATCGCGGCGGGCTGCAAAATGTGCCCTCCTTTTGGAAAACAGTCTGGTTGTTCCTCAGAAAACAGAACCAGAGTTTCCACGTGACCCAGCTATCACACTTCTACCTACATGCCCTGTCTTCCGAGAGGGCTGGCAGCCTAAGGCTACGCAGAAATGTGCCCAGGAGCCCCCAGCTCGTCATTCACAGGAGCCCAAAGGCCCAGAGACCCGGATGCCCACCCCTGGGGGATGGGAGGGGAGGCCGGCACACCCCCACAGCAGGGTGTGGTTCAGCCACGAAAAGGAGCGAAGTGCCGATACACGCTACGAGGTGGACTAGCCTTGAGCACGGGACCCTAAGTCAGCGCTTCTCAACCTGTGGGTCACGACCCCTTTGGGGGTCGCCTATGACATAACAGTAGCCAAATTACAGTTATGAAGTAGCAACAAAAGTAACTTTATGGTTGGGGGTCACCACCACATGAGGACCTGTATTAAAGGGCCGTGGCATTAGGAAGGTTGAGACCACTGTTGGGAGCCACACACAGGAGGCCACGCGCCGTGTGATTCTGCTCAGTGAGGTGTGCAGCACGGGCAGATCCCCGGGCAAATAGTAGATTCCGGATGCCCAGGGCTGGGGAGGGAAGATGGACAGTGCCCACTGACGGGGTTCTTTTGGGGTGATAGACATGCTCTGGGATTCCATAGTGGTGCTGGTTGCAGGATCTTGTGAATATACCAAAAACTATTGGCTTGTACACTTAGGGCGAATTTTATGGTATGTGAGTTTTATCTAAATAAAATAGGATTTTTTTTCTTTTTTTTTTTTTTTTTGGTACGTGCCCTTTGCTGGGGCTGAACCCAGAACTCTCTGGTTCGCAGGCCAATGCTCCAACCACTCAGCCAAACCAGCCAGGGCTAAAAAAGGATTTTTAAGAAAGAGGCCATACACAGAGATAAATAGAAACATGTTTATTATCAAACTTCATAATGTCACATCAAATACAAGTATGACATCAGTTTAAATAAATACACACTTAAAAAATTGTAAAATATAAAATCATAATTTCAAATACTTTATAAAACCCAGACACAGACACACATATCTTACAGTTATTTCCAAGTCGTTAATATACATATTTACACTTGAACAGTTTCAGATAAAAGGATAATTCATTTCATAGGCAGCATGATCACAAGAGCTGTTTTTTGCCCTCTCCCTTATTTCCCAGAGTCCTTTGCCCTTAGAAACCCCCACCATCCTGGTTCTTATCATCTCCCCATGTTTGCTTTCGGCCTTGTCTTTGCCAATATGCAGCCAGAGGCCCCCCAGAAGTTGACGGCAATGTGGGAGACTTTTGAATCTCACACCCTGTGAGGTTGGAGCAGCCTTGGTAGTTACCGACTAGACATTTCTCATTGCCAGTGATCAACATCTGGATTCCTTAGGAATTTTAAGCTCCTTTATAAATAAATATAAATACTTGCTCACACAGGTTTTCCTCTCTCCAAGTCAGTAATATACATATACATCGTGAGCCTAAAAGATCACAGTGTTACACGGTTACCATTGTACACTGTCAAAGGATCGTATTTGCTCTTCTTTGAAATATATACACTGCCAATGTAACATTAGAATTTGTTAATAAATAAAGAGATGGCGATCTAGGAAAATATTACCTAGTCATAGTCCTAACATTTACGTATGTTAAAGTCCCTACAACACGTGTACTGAATTAAGAATTATGGAATGCATACCCCATGCAAGCCAGAAGAATGAGATCTCTAAGAATACTTTGAAAGGCACTAAATCCCATGGGGATAAAAGTGATTCAGGTTTTAATCATCCTCACACAGGAGTACTCAGTAGGATTTGCACCATTAACAACAAAAATGTGTCACTTTTTTTCAAGTCAGTAACAGAGTATCTTTGGCCAATTTGTTTCCTCTAAGCCTTTAACAATGATCAGTCAGCCCATGACAGCAACTTTGTAATCAGCAGTTGAAACACTGTGAGGGACAAGAGAAAAAAACAATGTCACGAAATACTGGGCTTCTCCGCCAGGATTTCACTTTGAGCCAGGGAGAGTCAGAAAAGACCTTCTGAGAGCCCAGAGCCTTGGGTTCTTCACTTTTGCCTGGAAGAGACTATCCTTTCCCTCTGGTCACCAGAATTTCCCAGATCCTGAGAACAGGAAAAAGAGGACTGAGTCTTTTTGGTGGCAGGTTGGCCATGCCCGCTGGAGCATTTTGGTCCTTTGGAGTTCTCGTGGGTGCTGCAGTCCAGCCGCAGCAGGTGCCAAGGGCCTGAGATGCCAGGGGACTCTGTCTCTGCTGTCTTCAGAGCGTCGCTCTCACGCCCTAGTTTCCCCGTGTTTCTGCAAGTGAAAGAGTGAATGCCATCAGGACACTTACTCTTCTGCACGAGAGCAGTGACAGCAAAATCCATCTCTGCCCACCATGCACACTCTCCCTGGGGTAGTCCCAATATGAACATCAAAATCCTATTCACTTAGGGCATTGGAACTATTCTGTATGAGACTGAAATGGGGGCTTGTGTCATTATACACTTGTCAAAACCCATGGAATATACAAAACCAAGAGTGAGCCCTGATGTAGACCGCGGACTTGAGTTCATGATGCGGCAGTGTTGGCCTGCCAATTGTAACAAAATGCCACACCAATGCAAGAGGTTAATAGCAGAGGCAATGGGGGGGAGTCAGGGGATGCTGGAAGTCTGTACTTTCTGCTCACTTTTTCTATGACCTAACAATGCACACAAAAAGGTATTAATTTTTTTTAAAGCTCTTTGCAGGAGACTTGACTCTCCCAAATTCTCAGAAAGCGGAGCAGAGTGTTCGTTAAGATCACAGACTCTGGGACCAGCCCGCCGAGGTTTGAATCCCGGGCCCCCCACTGACTAGCTTTGAGATTTTACGCAAGTTACTCAGCTTCTCTGTGCCTCATTTGCTTCATCTATATAATTAAAAATAGAGTAATAGCCCCATCTCGTAGAATCCCTAGCTCCGAACAGTTCTTAGAATATAGTAAGTGCCGTGAAAAGGTTAGCTGTTATCATCGTTAGTATGACCTTAAATAAGTGAATGGACTCCATAAAGGCTAGATCCTTCTGCAGACACGTGAGACCACAGTTCCTACGTGACATCTGTGAAGGTGGAGGTCTCCCCACCCCCACTCCAGAAGCTGGCGGGCTCGGACAGCTCAAGGAGCAAGAGCACGTGTAAAGAAGTATCTTCTCTCAAAACGGAATGTGATGCCAAGCCTTACCTGCTCCCTTTTGGACTCAAACGGGCGCAGAAGGCGTTTTGTAGGACCCGTTTGATCCAAGGCTCTGGTAGCTGCTGTGGAACACACGAGAACACCAAGTAAAGCACGGTTTGCCAACACGACGCGAGGACGCTTGTAGGGTGTGCTGTGCAGGGCGGGGTGCGGAGGGCGACTTACCTGGAGGGGACAAATTTCTTTGCTGCAAGAAAAAGGACCACCGTTAATTTGGACTCCGACTTTTAAGGACACATCAGCTCCAGAAACAGCCTGACCGCATGCATCAGCAGGGGCCGTAAACTCCGTGCCCCCGGGGCCCTGCGTGATCGGAGCCGGCGGGCCCAGCTGCTTCTCACACAGACCCGCAGGTGGCTTCCGGTTTCTCACGACAAGTCCCCGATCCGGATTTTATGTGAAATTTCTTATTTTGTAAGCATCAGAACTTAATTCAAAAAATTTTAACTACTCTGCAGGCCAAACAGACCGCGAAGGGTGGCTACATGTGCTAGCGCTTGGCCTATGAGAGAGTCCTCTACTTAAGCCTGCTGTTCCCGATACAGTGTTTTGAAACATTGTATCCATTTCCCGGGAGCACTAACCCTGGCCTCAGGGCGCCTTTGAGGGCCCACAGAAGTCAGCGAGCGGCACTGCCTGGGCCAAGCAGGGTTGGCACAGCTGACATGTACGTCTCCTAAACCCTCCCCGCTGAGTTTGCTGTAGGCCCTTCCCTAAGGCTTCTGCTCCGTTTTATGCGGTTTATTGTTTATCTAGAACCTAGAGAGCACGGTCCTCAGTGAGAGAAGCAATCACCCTCCCAAACATTTCTGCAGCACATTCACAAACCGCTCACCTTTCTTCCGGAGACGTTTCAGCAGCCAGAGGAGAAAGGATGCCAAGGACAGGAGGGAGGTTCCGGCCACGGACAGGCCAACCGCCAGGGGCACGCTGGACCTGGTGGGGGCTAAGGAGACAGGGAAGAACTGTCACCAGAAGGAACTGACCTGAGAGTCCTTCTGTTGTGTGGATCCGCCCTTGTCCTTGTACACTGCTTACAATACCCAAAGCAGAGGAGCCTGCAGTCCAGTGTGTGAGGAGGGGGCATTGTATTAAAGACTTCGAGGTCTGCCCCAACCACCGCCAGGCGGAACTCTACCACCAAGCTCTCCCCTGGCACCACACTGCACCTGGGTCTGCCTGTCTGTCTCTCTCTCCCTCTCCCGCTCCCTTCCTCCCTCCCTCCCTCCCCATCCCTATTCCTACCTCCATCTCTATCTCTCATTTTCCTTTCCCCCAGCTGCCCTTTTTCTGATTGTCAGGATTCTGCTCATTCTATCATGTCACCTCTTCTGCTCTCTCTATATCCCCATAAAACTGAATATTCACCAGCTCATTAACCCGGCCAGCCCTTCTGGCCTTTCCCGTTTGGACATAATGGATCGTTCATTATCTTTGCCAGATAACTCCCCTCCTTCTCCCTGGCCCCCCAGACGACCACCACCAAGGAGCGCCTCACCTTCGCAGGTAGGCAGCACCCCAGACCAGTGTCCCGTGGCCCCACACGTCAGAGCTGCCGAGCCGTTGAGCGTCCATCCCTCGAGACACGCGAAGGTGCACACGGCGCCGAACACGGGCTCCCCGCTGCAGTTCATGTCCACCTTGCCGGGAGCCGCCAGCCTGGAGCAGCGCACCGCTGCGAGGGACAGGGACCGGGCTGAGGTCAACCCTCTGGAAGCGTCTACACTAGCTGGGAAGTCGGCACGCAAGCTGCCTCAGAGCACTGTGTTCCCAGGGGGAGGAGATGAGGCCCAGCCCCTAGGCGACCTAGGCTCAGTGACGGATGAGGACTTGACCTAGATCTGCTCTATGACGTCTGGCTTCGCCTTACCTTGGCAGGAGGGGACCTCCTGTGTCCACCGTCCCTGAGAGGTGCACTCGAGGTGGGCTGCTCCACGCAGCTCAAAGCCTTTCTCACAGGCGAAGCTGCAGGAGGACTGGACGGTGAACTGTCCGGCAGGGGCATGGCTACAGCTCACGGAGCCCTTCTGGGGGCGGCTCAGGGTGGCACACCTCACAGCTGCAAGGCGAGCAAGGACATTAGAAGAGCAAGGACATTAGCAACAGCGTCCTCCCGGTCACCAAGTCCCCAGCTCTTCAGTAGTGTGTGTGTGTTTTTTTTTTTTTTTTTTTTTTATCCTCACCCGAGGATATATATATTTTTTCCCATTTTTTGTTCAGGTAGAGTGGGAGGGAGAGAGAGGAAGGGAGAGAGAGTGAGAAACATCGACGTGAAGGGACACATCGAGTGGCCGCCACCCACACGACCAACCAGGGCCGGGGACAAACTGCAACCGAAGTACGTGCCCTTAGCGGGAACCGAACCCGGGTCTCTCCGGACCGCAGGCCGACGCTCTAACCGCTGAGCCAAACCGGCCAGGGCAGTGTGTGTGTGTTTTATCTTGAAAAGAAGATGTAAACAAAACTCTACCTTCACACGTGGGCTCCTCGCTGCCCCACTGCCCGGTGGGGCCACACTGGAGCCTCGTGGGCCCTTTCAGCACAAAGCCCTGCTCGCAGGAGAACTCGCAGCTGGACCCCGCTGGGAGGCGTCCGGAGGCGCTGGGAGGACAGTCCACGCGGCCCCTGTCAGGCCGGCGCACGGCCTCGCACTGGATCGCTGCAACCAAAGCGGCGTCAGGAGCTGCCGGGTCGGGAGAGGGCCTGGCGCTGCGGCGAGCGAACCGTCGGCTGCGGGCGGAGCCGCGCTCAGCGGACTCAGGACCCGCCACCCCGGACAGCTGGGCGCAGGGCTCAGTGGACTCAGGACCCGCCACCCCAACAGCTGGGCTCAGGGCTCAGCGGACTCAGGACCCGCCACCCCGGACAGCTGGGCGCAGGGCTCAGTGGACTCAGGACCCGCCACCCCAGACAGCTGGGCGCAGGGCTCAGTGGACTCAGGACCCGCCACCCCAGACAGCTGGGCGCAGGGCTCAGTGGACTCAGGACCCGCCACCCCAACAGCTGGGCTCAGGGCTCAGCGGACTCAGGACCCGCCACCCCAGACAGCTGGGCGCAGGGCTCAGTGGACTCAGGACCCGCCACCCCAACAGCTGGGCGCAGGGCTCAGCGGACTCAGGACCCGCCACCCCGGACAGCTGGGCGCAGGGCTGTGCTTCCTTCGGATCCCAGCCCCCGGACTGGCAGTGGCGCCGGTAACAGGCCGGCCTCTAACAGGACCAGAGTTCCCGAGGGCTCTTCTGACTCGGGAGAGGAGGGAGGGTCAGGAGAGGGATTTTATGTAGTCAGAGGGCGACCCCTGGATGGCGGATGCCTGGGGCTGATGCCAGACGCAGCGAATGAGAAGGCGACCGGGGGTCGTTTGTCTGCCTTGCAGTTTGGCTTTGGTCTTGTGGCTTTTTGTCGTGGGAGCTCACCCTGTGCTATGTTTGTCTACAAGAATACCAGTCCTGCCCCGGCTGGTTCGGCTCAGCGGTTAGAGCGTCGGCCCGCGGACCAATGAGTCACAGGTTCCATTCGGCCAAGGGCACCTATCTCGGTTGCGGTTCATCCCTGGCCCTGGTTGGGGTCGTGCAGAAGACAACCTGTCGATGTGTCCCTCTCAAGTCAATGTTTCTCTCTCTCCTCCCCTCCCTCCCACTCTATCTGAAGATAAATAAAAAAATATCCTCCGATGAGTATTTAAAAAAAAAAGAGTATCGGTCCTTGATGGTAGCCTGCCTGTTTGCAGTACTGTTGCTCTCGATTCAGGCGGATGCCATTTTGGTGCTGCTGTATGTGGTGAGAGAGCCTCTGTAGCCAACAGCAGCCTCCACACCCTCACCCCGCTGGCCCCGGGCCATTTCAGAAGAAGGTGCCACACGGGTCTTAGCACTGGGGCCTGTCCTCATGCTCCCCCCTTTTAAACTTGCTAATCGATTTCCCCCGAGCAAGCTGTCCGCCCATTCCACGCCCATGTCCGTGAAGTTGCATCAGCAGAGTCAGGGAGCCAGCCAAGCACCTGCTCTCGTGACACACGGCCCTTCCCCTGGAGGAGCACTGGCCCTTCTGCACGCATGTCCGAGGCCTGAGCTGAGCGCCGCCCATCAGCTCCGGTACCCACAGCTACCGCGGGCAGCTGGGCCCGTTGTAAACACCCGCGCGTGGGGACCCCTGCTGTCTCGTCCAGGGCCCTTGTGCGGTGCCTTCGACCTGGGCGGGCCTGCTTGGCCATTGCAAGTAGAGGTCAAGCAAAAGAATATTGACAGCGAATCTCGACTTGGAGCCACCCTACCTGTGCACCTCGGCCTCTCGCTGTCCCAGTTCCCAGATGGGGTACACTGCAGGCGCTGGGGTCCCACGAGTTCAAATCCCTCCTCACAGTCAAAGTCACAGCTTGTGTTCCACGGGAGGCCTCCCAGGCTTTGGGAACACTTCACGGATCCGTTGGCAGGCTTTGTCAGAGTGTCACACTTCACCGCTGCGGGTTTGAAAGAGGACCATGACGTTCACAGACTGAAACCCCTCACACCCGGCGGGCACTATCTTGGCCGTACGCATTGGCTCGAGAGCAGAACTTTTATTAAAAACGGAGACCTAAAGAACTTTCCTTAGAGCTTGGAAAATGTGCCCAGTTGGAGGAAAAGCCAAGGCGAGGAGGGGTGAATGGGAGAGGTTTACCTCTGCAGCCTGGGAGGGGCGCGCTCCACTCCCCGGAGGAGGTGCACCGCGTGGCCTCGGGGCCGCTGGGCAGGTAGCCCTCGTCACAGGTCGCGGTGCAGGAGGAATTGTAGCTGAAGCCTCCGAAGGGATGGGTGCACGCCAGGCTTCCGTGCTCAGGGTCTCCCTGGGCCTGGCAGGTCACAGCTGAAACGGGAAACCAAGTCAGTTCTGCTCCTCGCTCGGCTCCTATGAGGGGGAAGGACTCTGGGGACGCTAACCACTGTGCACTGGCCATTTCCTGGGCACGTCCTGTCTGCGCCGGTTCACTGACCCGAACCACAAGCCTGTGGTCAGTCTGTCCCCGTCCTCCTTTCCCGGTGAGAACGCTGGGACTCAGAGCATAACTACCGGCCACTGGGCCATGGTGAGTGGCAAATCTGGGACTGGAACCCGGAGGGCCTGACTTCACAGCTCGGCCCTTAAGCACCAACCCCGGGCCGCCTGCAGACCTGACTCCAAAGCCAGCCAGCCCGCGGGGGGACGCTGCCGTCACACGTGAAGGAGGAGGTGGCAGCAGACGTACCTCGCTCGCAGTGGAGTCCGCGGAAGCCGGGGTGGCACCGGCAAGTGTAGTTGTTGATGGTCTCCACGCACTCGCCGTGGCCGCTGCAGGACGTGCGGTTACAGGCAGCTGCGGACACACAGGCCGTGACAAGGAGGGTGAGCCCCTCCGCCCTTAGCATCAGCAGGGTGCAACGCAGATGTCGCCCACGACATGGAGAGCCAGGGGTCGTAAGTGCAGTGCTTTGCCGAGGGCCAGAGCTGAGTTACAGGCTCGCGTGTTTCAAGCCTTGACGTTCATGTACGGATGTCAGGCGAGCAGCCGTCACCGTCTCACAAACTCTAAAGATGGATCCGCTACCCCAAGTAGACAAGTAACTGAAATACGCGCTGTGTGTGTGCATATGCATCTATCTATGTACAGACCCGAGAGCTGCATGTATGCACGTGCGCACACACACACACACGCGCGCACACACTTGCCTCCGTTCGCACCCAGAAGCAGAGAGATGCTTGATCAAACAGAACGCTGTAAAGCCAGGTCTTTCCCAGCATCAAGTCACAATAGAGACTGACTTATGTCAACAATGAATGTATCAAGCTGCCTCCCTCCCGCGGCCCCTTCAAAGCGCCAACCTGTGTAGCAAAGGGCGAGCTTCTTCTTGCTGCACCTCTCGTCATTCCACTTGCCGCTGTCCTTCGCCCTCTTGATGTAGATCTCCACACAGTCCTCGTTGGTGTCCTTGTTGTTCGGTTCCCCCGGGGCCCAGTTCATGGCTTCCTCCGTCAGGGGCTTCTGGGTCCCGATCCAGACCCACTGATTGTTGACCTTTCTGATCCCAATCCAGTAGTAATTTGATGAGTAGCTGAACGTGGAGTTCAGGTAGGTAATCTCCTCCTGGTTTTGAATCGCCACCAGGTGGGTGTACTTCTGCTGACAGTAGGCGCTGGCCTGGTCAAAAGTCATGGGTTCGACGGAGGCGTGGTACGACCAGGCTGCACCTTCTCTCAGCAGGAGAAGCACTGAGCAGGCAAAGGTGGGAGGGAAGAGAAAGTTTAGTCCTGTCAAAGTTTGACTCTGTTAACTGGGCTCCCCCACACACACCCACACACACTATTCTTTTTCTATTTTTTTACTGTGGTAAAATGCAATTTGCCATCTTCCTCGTTTCAAGTGTACAGTTCAATGGTATTAAATATTCATAATGTTGTGGGGTCTTCTCCATCTTGTAACACTGAAACTTTGTATCTATTGAACTATAGCTCTCTCCCCCTCCCCCAGCCCCAGGCGACCACCATCTACCTTCTATCACTACAATGTTCACTGCTCTGCCTCAACAGGGAACCGCATGGTTGTTAGCGGGACCTTTCTCGTCTTATTGTGGCCGACAGTGGGCCTCTGGATGACTCGACTCTGTTCGCCGCTTCCAAAGTGAGAAGGGGTTTGGGTGGAGAAACCTCCGTGTCCTGTGCGTCTCTTTTGTGACGGACCCTGCGCCTGCCTTGCCTGCTCCCGCCAGAACCTATGAGCACGCCCGCTTCACAGGGGGACCATCGTCAGGGTGACCAGGCTCGCTGAGCGCCACCAGCACCGCTGAGGCACTGCATACGGCGTGACATTGAGCCCTCACGGGGCCTCTGGGACAGGTGTGTTATGATCAACACCTTGCACGTAAGGAAACTGAGACACGAGCAGGTAAAGTGAACTGCCCCTGGTCCACATGGGGGGAGGATGAGAACCCCCCACCCCGCTCTGACTACATGACACTGACTTACCAAAGGGCACAGCAGAGAGAAACCCTGACGCAGGCATGGCGCTAACAGCTCCTTTCTCCGAAGGATTATACTTGAAGTGCTTTTCTGGGAAGAAAAAGGACAAAACGAATGGCAGAAGGAAACCCCAGTTACTCGTACCATTCTATGTGAGGTTTTTGGTAAAGGGCTCCCGCACCCCACTCTCCATGAAAGAGAAGTTGACCTGCATGAACAGATAGAAATGTTTAAGACCGTCATTACCGAAGTCAAAGGGAAAAGCCCATCTCTAACTGGTCCGAACAGTAAGGGCTGGCTCAGACGCTTCAGGAGGCTCTCCGCATATCTGTTCCTACTGATCATCTAAGTCGCATGGCCCAAGGCTGCTCTTTGAAGACTTACAGGTTTGTGAAGAGGTCGTTTCCCTGTCCAGATTCCAGGTGCGTCCCCTCCGGGTCCCCACTGTGTCCCCTCGGCGTCCCTCCTGTGTCCCCGCTGCTCTCTCGAAGTCAGCCGATGCCAAGTCCGCCGAGAACCGCAGAGCCCTGCTCCTGCGGGAGCGCTTTATACAGCTGGTTACACGGCCGGCTTCCTGTGAGTCATAGGAGGACACGTCCAAAGCCGGCGAAGAGGAATTCCCCGGCAGCATCCACAAAGTTTCCCGGGAATATCCACGATGCCACAAACTAGCATGTATCAGGAGCCCTAGTCCTCAAAACAAAGTCTCCTTGGTTTCATGCCTCCCTGGCTTACATGAATTCTATCAATATGACACACGTGCCTGGTTTTTTATTGTAAGAACATACAGTCTCTGCCTTTGGGAGGTTTGAAAGCTCTGCTGAGTGGCAGCCTCTCTTCTGGAACTGTGGCAGTGACCAGACTCTCCTAAACATCAGCCGACTAGGAATGGTTCTACCAGCCTCAGCTCTCCCAGCCGGCCTGTCGGTAATGGGCCAGCAATCACTTTTTCTTTCCTTGTTAATCCTCGCCCAAGGATAACTTGCCACTGATTTTTAGAGGGCATGGAAGTGAGGGGTGGGGGGAGAGCAAGAGAGAGACACACACTGAGTGGTTGCCTCCTGCACAACCCCGACCGGGATCAAACCTGCAACCCAGGTACGTGCCCTTGACCAGGCATCAAACCCACGACGCTTCAGTCCACGGGCCAACGCTCTAACTGCTGAGCCAAACCGGCCAGGGCCCAATCACTTTTTCTCTCTCTCTCTCACCCATTTGAAGGTATATTTGAGTCACAAGCTAAACATGCATCCTCAGATTCTGTACATGGTTATGGCTAAATTACTAGAAATACTATCTCGAACATTAATTTAGAATAACATCTCGAACATTTATTGAGTGCCTACTATGTGCCAGGGCCCATAGCTGAGTATTCTGCACATTCATCTATGACTATTTAATCCTCACAACAGCCTATGAAATAGGTACTCTTATTATTCCCATTATGCAGATGAAGACATTGACACACCAAAGATTTTTCCTTTCTCATTCGAAAGCACAGAGCCAAGGGGTTGAAATGCCGGCAGTCGATCTCCAAAGCGGATCCCTTGACTGCCACCCTACACCACGGGTCCTCTTGTTGTCAGGGCCCCCATGAGCCTCCCCGTCCTGCCCATGTCTCCACCCCTCCCTTGCCCTCTTCTTGCCAGAGCGACAGGACCGTCCCCGCTGTCTGCCGAGGGGACAACACTCATGTCTGGGATCCTGGGACGTGGAGGCAGGAAGGGAACCGGGGACAGGGAACCAGGCCTGCAGTGAGAACAGACCTGGGTGCTCAGCACACGGCAGAAAGTGGACCAGGAAACAAGCCGGGTGGGTGGAGATGTACCCACAAAACGCTGTGAACCCCTTTGCCACACTTCCCAGGAGATCCTGATTCAAGAGCACCTCTCCCTACAGCTAAAGGGCCAAGTGATTATTTGAAATGTAAATGGAGAGAACTTGAGGGGGAGAACCCAGTACCAGAAGGAGGGATAAGAGAAATGAGTGGAAGAGATTCACGAATAAAAGTCATTTATTATTATTATTGTTGTTGTGTTGTTGTTTTAACAGCGGGAAGTATATTCCACGCCATCATTCTTTTGACATCGTTTCTATAAATGTTGACTCGAACTAATATGTGGCTTGTAGGTGGACAGCATGTTTGTGTAAGGATCCTAGGATCTATAGAAGATCTACGTAGACTCTACCCTTCAGCCACCCCAGTTCTGGGAGATTTACTGACTTTCAACCATGGAAGGAGAATGACATAGAGCCAGGATGACAAAGACCAGAATGACACGCCCCAGACCATCACTTGACCAGTTTCGAGGTCCTATTGGAACGGACTGTGCTGGCCTGCTCTCTGCTTGGCTTTGCCTCTCCCTCCTTATAAAAACCTTCGGCTGCACTGAGATGGGGAGATGGGCTTTGGACGAGAGTCCCCCATCTTCTCGAGATGACGGCACTTGAACGAATCCCTTTCCTTTTTCACCAACGTTTGCCTCACAAGTTTGGCTTTTGTGGGTTCCAGTTACATGATTTTTATTGTTATTACCACAGGTGTGATACCCCAAACCCACTCACAGTCCTCCTGCTTTCTCCCAGAGAGAGCCCCTGAGGTGGAGTCTGGGGTGCAGGGGTCTCTCTTCAGGTTCCAGGGTTGCTGACAAGCCATAGAGAGAGCCCAGCGCAGGGCGGGGCAGGGGCGGGTTGATAGCCAGACTGTAGCCGCTTCACCTGCATCTTCCTGTCGGGTCTGATGGGGGCACCCACTTGTTGGCGATCAGCAATGAGTTGCAGAAGAAACTGGGTGAGAGTTGAATCGTTGGGGATGTTAAATCCTGTTTCCCTCCCCACATAGCCCTCATGTCCCCTGTCTAACGTGCTGGTGAGAGGTGTTCCTGCTCGGGTTTCACCCCTGGCTTCACGTGGGCGCCACCACCGTCTCCACCTTGGTGGCGACAAAGAGAAAAGGCAGGAAGGTGGGGTGCACGTGGGCACAGCCCAGCTCCACAGCAGGGCGTTTTCCTCTGAGGCGCCACACTTCCCAGCTGAGCATCCCTTTTCTTGGAAGTGCCCTGCCCTCTCCTCCTCCACAGCCACTGATGGGGCACCAAGGACTCAAACCGCTTCCGCTTCGGTGCCCAGATCACCTCATTCTCCCTGGAGGGCGCGAGCGAGCCGGAGAAAGGATGGTGGGTTCTCCTGAGACCAATGTTACAGTTCTGTCCAAGGCAGCCCCCGCCATCCGTAGCTAGGGACAAGTAAAAGCCACGGCCGGGAGGGCGCCGGGTCGAAGGGACGGCAGCGCGGCCCGTGACCACATGGGGCAAGGCTTTCTGTACAAGGCCCTGATGTTCCTTTGCTTCCTCACTCGGACGGGAACTGCACAGCTTGGGCAGGGGCCTCCTCTCTCCTCCTGAGGCTCCGGGTCCCCCCCACCCCCACCCCGGGCAGTGTTGCTGGGCACTTATTATTGAAAACCTTGGTACCTTCTCCCCAATTCTACTCTGCTAACATCTAAAGTACTTTTACAGAGCCCTGGCCAGTTTGGCTCAGCGGTTAGAGAATCGACCTGCAGACCATAGAACTGAGGGCTTGATTCCTGGTCAAGAGCATGTACCTGGGTTGTGGGTTTGGTCCCCGACCCCAACTGGGGTCATGCGGGAGGCAACCAATCAATGTATCTCTCTCACATCGATGTCTTTTTCTCTCTCTCTCTCTCTCTCTCTCTCTCACTCCTTCCCTCCCTCCCACTCTATCTGAAAGAATCAATGAAAAATATCCTAGGGTGAGGATTAAATAAATAAAATAAAGTATTTCTGTAGAGTCTAAGGTAGGGGGAGGAAATCCCAATAAAGATTCCATCCTATTTGCAGAATATAAATGTGGTATTTCTTGCACACCCGAAATCATGAAATAGAGTTCCTATCAGTGAGCCATAATGGTGTAGAAAGGTGTTCCTCGTTTGATCAATCCACGGGCATATTTGATGAAAAACTGGTCCCGCCCTGGCCAGTTTGGCTCAGCGGTTAGAGCGTCGGCCTGCGGTCCGGAGAGACCCGGGTTCGGTTCCCGCTAAGGGCACGTGCCTCGGTTGCAGTTTGTCCCCGGCCCTGGTTGGTCGTGCGGGTGGCAGCCACTCGATGTGTCCCTTCACATCGATGTTTCTCTCTCTCTCTCCCTTCCTCTCTCTCCCTCCCACTCTATCTGTACAAAAAATGGAAAAATATCCTCGGGTGAGGATAAAAAAAAAAAAACAAAAACTGGTCTGGCTCCTTCTGACTTCATTCCCCAGGAAGGCGTGTGCACTCCTTCGGGTGACATCTGAGTCAGCCGGGGGCCCTGGGGTCTGCGCCCCCAGCCAGGGAAGAGAGGGGCTCTCAGATTCTCCTCATGAGGACTAACTGGGCAGCCCGTTTATATGTTGATTTACACCATTTTTTACTTACTGGTTTTAGAAAGAGGAAGGGAGAGAGAAACATCAATTTGTTGTTCCACTTATTTATGTATTCATTGGTTGATTCTTGTATGTGCCCTGGCTGGGGATTGAACCCACAACCTTGATGTCTCAGGACGATGCGCTAACCAACTGAGTCACCCAGCCAGGGTCATGACAGCTCCTTTAAAATGCATATCTCCAGGTCAACACTGAGAGAGTCTGACTAAATAGGTCTGGGGTGGGGCCCAGGGATCTGCCCTTTTAAATGCATATCTCGGGTGATTTCGACATGGATGCCCAGATCCTACCACACTTTGAGATGTATTGGCCCAGGGCCACCTATCGGGGGAGAATATCAAGACGCCCCTGTGGCTGGCGCTCCGTTATAGGTGCCAGATTAACTGCAGTTAATTCCGACACCCTCTCCGAAGGCTAGATGCCCCATCGATAACGGCGCTGGGCAAATACAAGGACTCTGTAGGGTGAGGAGGGGGGTGTTGAATTCTTGGGCATGGAAAGTAAATGGTCTGTAGCCAAAGACGGAGAAAAGCTGCTCATGTGACGCGCGTGTGTTCACCTTCGGTTATTCTCCTTTCTCCTCTTGAATCAAAGGAGACAGTGGATCC